TCGAGTGCCAGATACCGTGCTTTGGTAGCTCAGTTATCTGTCTCCCAGAGTGTCTAATGCAAGGTCCTGCCCTTCATCAAATTCATTGTAATGTTAATGGTGAATGAAGGAATTCATCCTGCTTAATTCTCCTATTTTGACTTAAGATACAACAATATACCTTTGATAAGCCTATTTAAAAAGCAAGGACATGATAAACACAGAATATAGGATAGTGGTTGCAGTTGCAGGAAAACAGGGAAGAATTGGGGAGCACATGGATAATGTAAATTATTGCTGTGGCTCCAGTTCTTGGGTTGTAATGGGTTCACTGGATGTATATATTACTAAAAAGAAGTAAGGATATGAAGTAGTAAATAAAATAAAGTAGAAGAGCACCATGTATGCATGTTAATTCATAATTAAAAATATGAATTATATGTGTTACACACTTGAGGTATGTTTTAAAAAACTACATACACACATTTACATACTCAAAAATAATATGTGGAGAATCCATCCTATCTATTCTATCCATCTTATCAAAATTAAGAGAAGGAAATTAAAATACCACCACAGCCTACATCTTTGGAGGGCTTTTCTGTGCATTACATCAAAATGCAGATAATTTGAGTAGTTATGTTCAGCCAGAGGCTCGGTGAAATCAGGTAAGGCAGTAAGCCCCAACCAAATATACTAATGTTGTACTATCTAAATTTCTGTTCCATTTAATAATTTACAGAGGGCTTTCCCACATCAAAGCATGCTTGCCTGCCATTTACTCAGGGTTATGTCCTTGGATTCTTGAACTTGACGTTAGCATCTTTTTATTAATGTCTTGGAGGAATTTAATGTCCTCAGAGTGTTGTCATCCTTAATATTCTCCTGACATCAGATTGTATGACATTTAATCTTTTCTAATCATTGAAATGACATGAAGGTATGAAGAAATGTATCCTGTAATGTCAAGTCCATTTTCAGAATAAAAGTGATTTATGAGAAGAGTTCCCTTTTTGTTATCTGTCCTAGTATATGAATGGAATTCTGGCCAATTCTGCTGAAACTCAGGAATTACCAATTTTGAGACAGTTAGAATACAGTAAAATATAGCCAGTGCTTAAAGTAGTCTGAGTAAAACTTAATTCTTTTGATTCATAAGGTACTTTTAGGAAGTTGGAATATTTCATGCAAACTAATTTTCCAGAATATTGAAACCTATGAGTGTCAAAGGATTTTTAAAAATAGAAGTAGTAGATGCTTAGGACAAAAATTCTAAAAATTCAGAGTATAGAAAGTGTAAAGTGAAAAGTAAAAGTTGACCCTTTGTAGTCTCCAATTTCCACTATTAACTGTTTCTTAATATCCTTTTAAATACATAATTATACACAGATACATCTATGTATATAATTTTTTTTATAAATGCGACCATAATACATATAAACTATATTTTGCTTTTCCACTTCATCTAGGTCATCATTGCACAGCAGCACTTAAAAATCTAATTTATTCTTCTAAATTCCTACATAGAATTTTTGTATGGTTTTCTAATAGTTTACTTAATTGGTTTAATGTTGAGGAATATGTGGGTTGTTAAAAGCAATATGTGAGCATCTTTATAAATGCACCTTTGTGTACTTTTGTAAATATATCAGTAGCAGTGGAATTACAAGGGAAAAAGCAAATGCACTTCAAATTTTAATAGTTTTGGCCAAGTTGACCTTTTCTAAAATGGTACATTTTCAGTCGTTATTTGAGAATAACTTCCTCATAAGCCTTCTCAAATGGTATCATTATTTAGTAGACTTGAATTTCTTTAATCATTAATGAGGTTGTACATCTTTTGTATGTTTATTGGTCCCTTTTGTTTTCTCCTCTTATAAAGTGCCTGTTGAGAAATATGACCTTCCAAACTGGACATAGAACACTGACAATGTATCTTTACAGCTATACTTTTACAATTAGGTGAATTCTATTCAAGGTGAATACTTAAGAAATAATCTTTTAGAATCTTGAGATTCTTCTTCATTATTATTTGTTCCCCATTATATAGTCACACCAAATTGTCTAATACCGAGATGATGACATTTGTTCTTTCTTGTTTGATTTAATGAACAGTTGTGTCTAACCCAGACTTCAGTCTAATTTGAGGCTCCTACAAGTTTGGAAAATTCCTGAAGTAGAAAGCTCCAAAAAAAAGGGCAGAGTTGTGGTTGTGATAATTGACTTCACTCACACCCTGCTTTGTCCAAACAGTATATACTTGCCTCCCTTTTGGGTGAGAAATAACCTTGGAAATAAATTTGTACCCATGGGTATAATTCTGATTTTAGGACTTTATGTCTTATTTTGGTAATCTGTAGTTTCTACCACACTGTGGCTGCTTAGGGTAAATATCCAAAACAACAATAATAATGCTGGTATTTGGTTTGTCAGTTGTGGCTCAGAGCATCAGTGGAACATAGAGCAGAATTCTTGCTGAGGAATATGATCCTCAGTTGATTCTAATTTTATCTGTGTGGTGCAGCTTTCAAATATGAGGACAGCTGGTGTTGGATAAATCTGTCCTCACAAACTGTATGAGGTTGAAATAAAATTAAATATTTGGAGTTAATTCAAATGCAAAAATGTGGAAATAACTGATTAATCTTTTGATATTTCACTTTCTGGATCTTGGTGAAAAGGCGCTTACCACTATTCATTGTGAATTCTTAGCAAAAGTCCTGTTTAAAGCTTAAGATAAGCAGAATGTATGCCCTAATTTAAGGTCTGACCTTTCATGAAAGGTAAAGCAGAATTCTTGCTTTTCACCCATCCTTCATGCTGCTGGTAAAAATGATAGGCTTTCTATAATAGTTTTTGTTTGCAACCCCTCTTTGTCTTTCTCCCTTGAGTAAAAGGTTGCTACCAATGAACTAATGAAGCCCATACTTCTGTTTGGGTTGGGATAATCACCCTGTGTGGTCCTGAAAGTTTGCAAATGATGGGACCCCAGACTCTTTGTAGATTCTCCTCCAGGTGACTCAATATCTTGCTGGTTGCTAAGGGATAAATAAGGATGGTGAGCTCAGAAAAGTCAGGCTGCTGGCTTTTCTTCAGCTGACTGGATTACTGAGGGAGAAAAGCACTAAAAATAAATCAGGGCACAAATTCTGCTGCCAGCATTGACTATTGAGATAACTTGTCTTCTTGGCTGGTGTTGACATCATCTATTCTCCTAGTACACCTTGCAAATAGGAGCCGGAACGAGAAACACATTTAGCCCTGGACTAGTGTCAGCTGATGCGAGTGGCCCTGTCCCGATATACCTATTGTTGCTTCTTGTCAGGGTCATTTAATTAGTCCCCTGAACTCCTCTGGGAGATAGCTAAGTACATCAAGGTGCTACTTGAAGCCAAACTCCGGGTTTTCCTCAGGGGAAATCACTTAATCTCTTCTGGTTCCAAGTACTTCTTTGCTAGGTCTCTTCCACGTCAGTTGGGTTTCAGTGTTGCCCCCTAGGGGTCAGATTCTACCCCTTGGAAAAGTGGGAACACCTCTCAGGAACTCAGTTCCAGGACCTGAAGATGCCCCGGTGATCCAAGTCACCCGACGTGGATTAAAGATTCTTACTGCTGAATTTCTGTTCCTGATGTTGCTTCAGACATGCTGAGCAGAGAACCTTTGCCCATCAGAATGAATCTTTGGATTTCATTTGAACTAAAATGGAGAAGAAATCCATGTAAATCCCTACTTTCTTTATATCTATGCCTATCCTCTTTTACTTATATAGAAAATTGCCTTTAACTGAAATAATACTGTCTTACACTGATTAAAGTACTTGATACTACAAAGCGCTTTCACACATTTATCTTGTGACTTTATGAAAAAGTTTGTAAGGAAGGCAAATGTTATTAGCCCCTTGTTAACTGCTGGACTCAGAACAGCCAACAGATTCAGACTTTGGGAGTGATTAGTGTTAAGAGCCTTGGGAGCTCTGGGATTTCTTGGTCCACTCAGCAATGTCCAGTCTGACCCAAGATCCTCTGTCCAAGTCTGGAGGTTTGTTCTATTTTTATAAAATAACCTATTTAAATGTTTCTATAAAAAATACATTCTCATTATATAAAACCTGGAAAATACGGCAGGGAAGTGAGAGAAAAGAGTCAACCACAGACCCAGTACACAAAAACAAATTCCTTGGGTTTCCTGAGGTTTTTGACAGAATCTGTGGGAGGAAAGGAGAAATCAGATGTATTCAGTAATGCTTATTCTGTTTCTACCCATTTCCCTGCATTTAGCATAATGGACATAGTAGGCATTTTAATCCTGCCTCCTCCAGGGATACTTCCAAATAGGTATTGGCTCTAGACCTTCTGAGCTGACCTCTGAAAGGTGAGCCAAAACCCCATAGCCATCCCTGGTGATCAGCTGAACTGTTCTTTCATTAGTCTTCTATTTTTTTCATACAACCTTTTCCCTTTCCTTCTGGCTCTGTCAGTACAACTTCTCCTCATCTTTCCCTGCTAGTTGTCATTTCCAGTCTTAAGGTCACCAGCAGCACTTTTGCGTATTTTTCTTCCAATTCTGCCTGGCTTCCCAGTGCAGAGTCAAGGGCTCAGATAACACCGAAGAGAATGGAAGGACTGCTCTTTCTCTAGTCTCCCACACACCCAGCTTGGTGCTCAGAAGGTACATATGGCCAAAGAGAGGAGCTCTGGGAAGGGCAGGGATGTGAGCAGCCCCAGATGTTTGGAGCCAGGAATTACTGAGTTCCAGTATATCTTTGAGTCCCCTCTTGCATTTCGCTTAGTGTTTGATAATAGACATTAGTGTTTATTGATGAGTGAGTGAGTGAATGTATTTGATCCTGAGAGTAGAGGTGCGAAGTTACTGGCCTGACTTCCTATAAATTAAAAGCATCAGGATTCTCTTCTCTGTCCTATGCCCAAGGAATTAGGGACATTTGATCTTCCTCATCCGTAGGATCGCTATGGTATGAGAAAGCCCAGCCAACCAGCAGCCTTGGTTTCAAAGGTACTCACAGCCTCCGCGTCGTTGGTCTGCTTTTCTGCTCCTGTTGTCCCCTCGGAAAGAACCCCTCGAGGCTGGGTTTGTTTGAGACACAGTCCTGCCATCTGCAAGGAGGAGCATAAACTGGAATGACAGCTGCATGCAAAGAGGCTAGGGTATCAACTGGGAGGATGGGGAAGGGTCTCCCTATTCCACTATTTGGTGCAGCCCCCGCTTTCAATTAAGTACTTGGCGAGTGAGCATCCTCCCAAGAGAAGGACAAAAAATATGTGACCCTCAGTCAACCACTAGTAATTATACATAAAATCTGAATGGAAATGAGGAGATAAAAGGCAGGGCAGAAACCAAAGTCTCATAGTGAGCAAAGCATTTTTAGCTGGAATGTAAAGAATTTTGGTCTTGGCATTTGAAGGAAATTCAAGCTGCCTTTCCTCTCAACCCAGAAGACAGGAGACAGCTCACAGTTGTTTGGGTCAGCATTAGAAATCTATTAATCTCAGCATTGGCTTTGTTGGGGGATCTGTGTGGAGTTGTAGATCTTTATGAAGAGGGGTATGGAACAGCGCATTTTTTCTTGGAAGCTTAAGATTTCTGTTTTACACACTGTTGCTGGATGTGGTTTTGATTGTGCCGGACTGATCAATACATTTAAAATGAAGTAAAAAGAATTTTGGCTCCATGAGTAGAGAAATTTCCTGTTATATCCCGAATAACCTGAGAATTCATGTGACAAACATAGAATAACATATGATTAAACAGCAAGATTTGACTGACCTACTGTGTACCCAGTACTGGGCAGCTGGAGAGTGCACTGGAAGAGCCAACAAAAGGAAGAAGCATAAATGTCAGAGTGCGTCTACAGTAAACGAAGTGTATTGAAATGCAATCCTTAGTAATCCTAGTTTTCCCTAAGTGGAAATCCCCAAGTAAGTCAGACGGGATACTGCCGTACAGCAAACTAGGTACATTTGATCACAACCCTACATACATGGTATAAAAATTTTAACAGTCATTCAATTCAGCTGGTTTTAGAAAAATATCTAACGTTGGCCATCTATTTTATTTTGTTTTGTTTCCTAGCTCCAAACTATTGTTCCCTCTGGATTGTTTAAACATGAAATGATGCTTTTTGGTCATGACAGAAGCCGGGAGAATTCAGTATAATCCTATTTCCAGTAGTGCAAAAAGGCAAATTGTCCTGGAATGATCCATTAGAGATATCAAGGGATGGCATATCCAATGAGAAGAGAAGTAATTTATGTGCTGTGATCATGAGTCCTGATGGCTTAAAGGGCTCTGTTACCTGCAGGAATCTGTGACTCAGCATCTGGCCCTTGGAAGCTGGGTATTACCAGGCTGTCAGAGATCGTGTTATCTAAGCCAACTCCTCCTTAACATTTTTTTTTTAAACAGACAGGATCTGAAGTCCAAGGAAGAGAAGCCATTTGCCAAAGTAACGAATTATCTTGAGTGCCAGAGGAATGTTAGAAAAAAATTGGGAAATTTGAAAAAAAATATTACTGGGTATCCTTTAGAGGTTGTCTGATTCTGTAGTAGTTCTGAGACCTTTCATCGTCTCAGAACTATTTTAAATCCTGTAGATTTGTAGAAAACTGAGGGTAATGCTAATTATTCTTATCTACAAAAAAGCAAACAAGTTTTTTCTCGTGGAGGTACAGTTGATCACTTCCCCTCCTCAAACACAAGAAGCTAGATTTGCATCTATTAACAAATACATTGCAGTATTTCTGGTTGCCACTTGAACCAGTTCTTAATATCTTACTCATTCTGTCTTTAATTAATGAGTTGAATAAAATCTTAGATGTGTGTTCATTTTATATTTGTATGATAGTCAAAATTTTACCTTTAAAAATTATTCTGTTAAAACAGGAAGAAACCAGGATTTTAATAAGAGCTCTCTGTTCCTTAGTTTACTGTGAATAGAGATAGACTCTGTTTTCATGGGTTTCTGAGATGGCTAAGCAATCGCTTGTATTTTTTTTCTTACATTTTTTTTATGTTACAGGCCACAGGAGTAACATCTTTTTAAATAAATAACATTGAGTTGAATTTCATATAACATGAAAGTAACTTTTTAAAAGAATATTTGCTATAAAGTTTTAAAGTGAACAATTCAGTGGCATTAAGTACATTCACAATGTTATACAACCATACCTCTTCCTAGTTCCAAAACATTTCTATGACTTCAAAGTAAAACCCCTATCTGTTAAGCAGTTTCTCCCTATTCCTCCATCTTCATAGCCCTCGACAAACCACCAACTTGTATTCTATCTATGGATTTATCTAGTCTGGATATTTCATATAAAATGTGACCTTTTGTATCTGGCTTCTTTCACTTAGCATAATATTTTGGAGATTTATCCATGTTGTAGCATATATCAGCAATCCATTTCTTTTCAGAGCTTAATAATAGTCCATTGTATGTCTATATCACTATAATTTGTTTATCTCTTCATCTATTAACGAACATTTGGGCTGTTTTTAACCTTTTGGCTATTGTGAATAGTGTTGCTATAAACATGCATGTATATCTACTTGTTTAAGTACCTGTTTTCAGTTCTTTTAGGTACATATCTAGGAGTAGAATTGCATCATCCTATGATAATTCTGTGTTTTACTTTTGAGGAACCACCAAATTGTTTTCCATAGAGAACTGAACTATTTTACATTCCCACCAACAAGGTATGGGGTTCCAATTTCTCCACATCCTTACCAATCCTTGTTATTTTCAATTTAAAAAATTATAGCCAACTTAATGGGTGTGAATTGGTACCTCATTGTGGTTTTGATTTGCATTTCCCTAATGACTGAGGATGTTCGGTATCTTTTCATGTGTTCATTAATCATGTGGAATTTTGAACAGTGCATCATATTTTGAATGTGCCAGGGAAGCTGGTTATTGAAAAGAAGTTTTTGGTGACTTCCACTGTAATACAAGTAATTATCCCCTAAGTTATGTTTCTTAATTTAAGATTTTACACACTAAACTTTATTAAATGATTCTATAGAGAAAGTTGTCTCTTCCGGACATAGACTGGAGAAGATTTTTACCACCCCCAACCTAATACTCTTTATAAGGTGTTTTTTCACAGATCATGTCTGAACCTTCCAAGCAAGCTCTCTAAGGAACTCAGAAAAACGTTTCCATGGTGATAATATCTGTCCTTGTGAAACACTGCTGTGTGAGCTGTTTTATGTCCTAAAATCTTGCTTGAAGATTTAAGATTTATTTACTAATTTGCTTTTTAAGTGTGGCTACACAGTACCTTTTTAATAATAATGACAACAACATTTATTAGACACGTATTAGGTGCCAGACTCTCTACTAGGCATGTTCTGTAGATGATATATGAATCCTAGTAGAGTGTTAGCCCTGAAGGGTAGGATCTTGTTTTTCTTGTCCATTGTTGTATCCCCAGCATCTAACACAGTGCCTGCTACAGAGCAGATGTCCAACAAATGTTATTGAATGAAAAAACAACCCATTTGAGGTAGTTTCTGTGATTAAATGAGGAAGCTGAGGCTAAGAAATGTAAAATAATTTTTCCAAGGTCAGACAGATGGGCAGCGGTAGATCCCAAATCAGAACTCAGGCATTCTGCTCCTGAGTCTATACCAAGTGGCCTTTTAAGCCATAGTATTCAGAACAGCACTTTCACCTTTTTTCCACATTCTACAGGGTGGCCATGTAATTTTTTCAAAAAGGGAAGAAGCAATTAAGTCCTTTTCAGTTCAGGAAAATATTTATTAATGGCTATCTGGTTGCCCATTCATTTGATGTGTGTAATATTGAGAAGTGGGAGTTAGGAAAATGAGATTCTATTATAGGGTCTGACACTAACTAGCTGGGTGACATTGAGCAAATAATATACTTTATAGACTTTGGACTCCTCATGTGCAAGTGGAAGTGTTGGGCTAGATGATCTAAGTGTGCTTCAGCAATAAAATTTGATAAGAAATGGCACTGATAAAGGCCACAGTGACCTTGCTTTCTGGGGATAGGGGTTGTGGGGGATGTTAAGTTATATCTTAATCTTTAATCTAGAAAGAATGAAAAAAAGAAGAAGGGACAACAAAGTTGTAACTACATGATGGCCATGGTAGAGTGTATGTATCATCTAGAAGAGAAAATAAAGCAACTATCCAAGTAACAGTTCACTCTTAATTTCAAGAAATGAGATTTACTTCTGTCCTGGCCCTTATATTTGAGTATAATAACCTAAAGTTATTTAATATTTTACAGTTTCTCAATGCTTTCTGATCCCTTGTCTTCTACAACTGTGCTGAGAGGCAGTTTGGAGACAATAGTTGGAAAAACCAAGGGGTTGGCCAAGGTTCTATAGTTGTCTAGTGATTTTCGATCTTGGTGTTTTGATACCCCAGCCTGTCTTATCCCAGTATTTGAAGATAATGGGAAATTATTACTTTCTAATGTGAATTTTTCTTTTAAATTCATTTGGTTAAAAAAAATGCTCACTGACAGTTTTTCTATAGGTTTCTGGGAGTGGAGGATATTGCCTAAGAAAGCAGATAATAATAGGGTAGCAAAAATTCCAGAATAGTGTGTTCACTTTTTAAGGGAAAAGATTTTGTGGATAAAACACACTTTTTAGGGCTCATTTATTTTATACTTTAAATTGGATTGAATGATTTTATGTATTTTTTAAATTGAAGTATCACTGATAATACAGTCTTATATTCGTTTCAAGTATGCAACACAGTGGTTCAGTAGCTACCCACATTATTAAATCCTTACCCCCACTAGTGCAGTTACTATCCATCAAGATGGGAAGATGTTATAGAACCACTGACTATCCTCCATGCTGCACTTCCATCCCAATGACCAATGTATGTTATGACTGAGAATTTTTGTGCCCCTTTATCCCCGTCCCCTTTCCCACCCACCCACTCCAATCCCTCCCCCATGGTAACCACCAGTCTCTTCTCAGTGTCTATGAATTTACTGCTGTTTTGTTCATTTTGTTTTGTTTTGTTTTTAGATTCCACAAATAAGTGAAATCATGGCATATGTCTTTTTCTTCCTCTCTTATTGATGATGATGAATTCTTCATTTCTTAT